TCTCTCTCTCAAAAATAAATAAACATTAAAAAAATTTTTTTAATTAAAAAAATAAATAAATAAAAAATTTAGGGACTCACTCTGTTTCACCACATACTAATCTATGCTCCAAACCCAGCAACTTCCCTCTTTCTCACAAAATGTTATATTTTGCGGTGGATTCAAGAAGTCCTCTGGGAGCCCCATCCCAGTAGGCCTGGTCTCTCGTGGGCTCTCCTCTGACTCTTTGCCTCATCTTCCACCATCTCAGCAGGACAGCAGCGCCACTCAGACCCCCTGAGTCTCGCATTGTGCCCAGTCACTCACACCTTGCCTCACAGGAGCATCCCAGGAGTCAGGCCATTTGGGGCCAGGTTTTCATAGGAGCACTTCGTTGTTGGCACTGACAGATCCTTTCCCACTTCCTCAAAGTCATGACTTAAGTACCGGGGTTTGCACCCCACACCTCCTTCCTTCTTGGACTGAGAGAACAAATCCTGAGGTAGTATTAAAAGAAGAGGAATGGGGCACCTGGCTGACTCAGTTGGTTGAGCATCTGATTCTGATTTCGGTTCAGGTCATGATCCCAGGGTTGTGGGATTGAACCCTCGTTGGGCTCCATGCTGAGTGTGGAACCTGCTTCAGATTCTCTCTCCCTCTCTCTCTCTCTCTGCCTCTCTCCCTGGCTTTCTCTCTCTCTCTCTCTCTCTCTCTCTCTCTCTCTCAATTATAAAAGGAGCAATGGTCTACAGTGATAACAGCAGATACAACCCACCCAGAGCTCCCTCTGCATGGAAAACAGAGTTTCAGGCAGCGGCACACAGTACACCTTTCTTTGATCTTTGATACAAACTGGTGAGTCAAGGAGTATAATCCCATTTAAAGATAGAGGAAATGAGGTCAGAAGTGATTCCACTACTTCATTCAAAGTCATTAGGCCTGTAAGTGGTGGAGACGGGGCTTAGTAAGGGGGTCAGTCCGAAGTCTGCCTGTAGCCTCTGCCCCCCACTATCCTGCCTTCGGGAAGCCTGACCCTACGTGGCCCTGGCTGCTCTCCTCCCACACCTCCTTCTCCAGGGAGCAAGTGTGTCCAGTGGTTTGGTTCCAGTGATCCTGGAGAAACTCAGGCTGAATCAGAAAATAACCTCTCCTATAATTTACCAGGAAGCCAGAGGCAACAACATAACCCAGTGAAATGAATCAAAACAGCTTGAGAAAAGAACGAATGTCCAGATAATGGCAGGAATAACCTTGACTTTGCAGCTGCTCAGTCTTTGGTTCCAGGGAACTGACATTCATCTGGGCCCCCCGCCCCCAGACTGTCCCCTCCAGGCAGGCCAGGGGATATGAAGTGCTAAGTGGAAAAGGGACTGCTCCTAGTCTCAGCGCCTGCTGAGTTTGGCATGCTCCTGTCTACACAGCCTGGAGATCCCTGCTACAACAAGAAGCCACGTGTGGCGCTTCTGACAGTTTCCTGCTGTGTGACATGGAGACCAAGAAAGACTGAAGTTTAAGTACAAGACAGGGGAGGGTGGGAGAACTGTCTCTTCCTGGTCTTGTCTTGCCTCTCAGGAGTTAGCAAAGTCAATTACCTGTGGGCCTCAGGCTTCCCCTCCCACCACCACCACCTCCAACAGGACCCCTGAGGGAAATGCCACTGGATAGGACAACCTGCAAAAACAAAACTCTCAGAGACCAAAACAGTTACCAACATCATCCACCTGCTGCATAGACTGAGGCTAAGACTAGCTCTTGGCTATGATGATAAACTTCAGAACTTGCCCTCAGTGCAGCCCAGTTAGGGCTAGAACCATCAGGTTGGGCTTAGGAGGTATATGGGAGCCAGGCCACCTGCAGAGGCTCCCCTTGGTAGGTGAGGACACAGATTAGGTAGGCTATGGACCCTGAGTGATACTAACTGGCAGGCAGTTTTCCACAGCTGTCCCCCAAGAACCTTGTCCCCGATGCTCCCATCAGATGCTAACTTAGGTGCTGCTTGAAAAAAAACCTGCAGATGAAATTAAGGTACAAATCAGCAGCCTTTAAAATACAGAGATTATCCCGGATGATCTGATCGGTCCAGTGTTCTCCCCTTGGTGGCAGAAGAGGACGACAGAAGAGTTGGTCAGTGGGAGAGATGTGAAGGGAGAGGGAGGTAGGCGTAGATGAGGCAGAAAGGGGCCAGCAAGGTCCAAAGAGGGAGAGAACTGGACCTGCAGTAGCCAGTTTTGAGGATGGAGGAGGGGGCCACAAGGCAAGGGATGTGGGTGGCCTCTAGAAGCTGAGAATGACCCCTATCTGCCAGGCAGCAAAGAAACAGGGACCTCAGTCCTACAGAAGCATTGGACCAAGTTCTGCCAACACCCAGATGAACTTGAACATGGATTCATTTCCAGAACCTCTCAAAAGAAATGCAGCCTGGTCAACACCTTGCTTCAGCTCTGTGCGACTCTAAACAGAGAGCCCTTGGAGCCGTGTTGTGCTGGGACTTTTGAGATAATAAACATGTGTTGCTTTAAGTCACTAAGTTTGTGGTAGTTTGTTATGGCGGCAACAGAATATCAATGTACCAAGCAAAAGCAAAGCTTTGTTGTTGATCTGTTGTTAGCAAAACAAGGAAAATAACCAAATGGAGACATATGATCCAGTATTTTCTTTATCCTATGAAGAAAGTAGGAGGGGATGGTTGGAACACGACATCTGCTTACTATACATCCTGCACTTCAGGGTTTCCCACTCTGACACTATAGACGTTCTGGACTGAATAATTATTTTCTAGTGGAAGGTGGGACTATCCTGAGCAATTGTAGGATTGTTAGCGACAACCTTGGCCTCTGCCTACCAGAAACGAATAGCACTCCTTCCCTACCAAATCATGAAACTGAAGATGTCTCCAGATATTGGTAAATATCCCCCTGGGGGTAAAGCTTCCCCCTGTTGAGAATCACCTCTTTATACAATCTTCTGAGGGCATAAGGCAAAGAAAAGTTTTGATAGAAAGCATTAATCTCCTAGCTGTTTTTCAACTGACAACACATTTCTCAAATATCCATTTCTCAAATGAACACAATACTATAGTGATACATCCGCACTGTTATCAGCTGTTATCCTCAGCAGCTGGGATGTTATGAACACGTACACACACGTATATAAATGTGTATGTGTCGAGGTACATGTTATGTATATATGTTTTGATTTCCACTTTTTAAAATTTCACGACGTAGAGACATACATTACTTCCACAGTCAAAATAAAATGAACATGAATTTAACAAATCTTCATTCATCAGCGTTTACTGAATGTCTACTCCAGGTATGCCTGAGGTTCGGTGCCCAGCAGTCCCTCTGTTAAACAGGATCAGTGCAGTGAGAGAGGCAGATAGGTGAGGTGGGGAAGGTTAGTCTGTGTGCCAGGAGCGAGGGTAGTAGGTGATGCAGGGGGAAATGGAGACTGCAAGTACTCCAGGTCCCAGAGTGGGGAGCGGTCAAGATCAACTTCAGAGAGTCAGCAGCCAGGAGTCCGGTGGGCGGGGCACTGCAGGTGGATGAACCAGCATGAGCAAAGTCATGGTGGCAAGAGGTGTGATAAGGACTGCAAATGTGCTCCACGCCTGGAAGACTTGGGTTAAGCAAGTATAAGAAGGATGATGTTGTTATACGACTATGTTGGTTAAACTACACCCTGGACCACACCCTGACCACTCCTCTGTTCTGTTGGCACATCTCCTTCACTTACATTCTGAATGGAAGCGTTGATGGGTAAGACTTGGAAACCCTTGACCCACCCAACCTCTGGAGACAGAAGAGAGTTTGTCACTAACAGGCCACCCTACATGTGCCCAGCTCTGAGCTAGTCTCTTTGCTTCCATTATCCCATTTAAACCTTACAAGGATTTTGTGAAATGATTGCTCTACATTCCATATTAAAGATAAGGAAAACTGAGGCTCACAGAGGTGAGGTAACATGCAGTTTAGTATGCTGCCAAGTTGGAATTTGAGCTCAGGTCTGTTTTACTCTAAGGCATAAGCTTCATTTTCCATACCTTTCTTAGACCTGGTTAAGAAGGGTCCTCCAGGGAGCACCTGGGTGGCCCAGTCGGTTAACTGTCCAACTTTGGCTCAGGTCATGATCTCATGGTCTGTGGGTTCAAGGCCCATGTCAGGCTCTGTGCTGACAGCTCAGAGCCTGGAGCCTGCTTCGGATTCTGTGTCTCCCTCTCTCTCTGCCCCTCCCCCACTTGTGCTCTGTCTCTCTGTCTCTGTCTCTGTCTCTGTCTCACTCTCAAAAATAAATAAACATTAAAAAAATTTAAAAAGGGCCCTCCACTGGGTCCATACTTCAGGGATCCCTCTGGTCCTTGTCCAGTCATACCAAGGGGCCATGCCATGAGTCCCCCAAGCCCTTTCCCGGCATCCCAGACTGTGGACTCCTCTGCTAACTGTCTAGCCTGGCCCCTGGCCCATGTGCTTATCGTCTCCATGTTCACCCTGCTAAGGAATGATGGGGATACAAGTATGCTCATCCCTGGGCCTGAGTGGTAGCCCAGGGGAGGCTGGCTGCAGGGTGAGCAGTCTAGACCCAGCTTGGACCTAGGGGCTGAGTGTCGCAACACTTCCACACTCAATGTGGGATGGGTCCCTCAAGGTGGCCAGACTGCAGGCAGGGAGCCAAGGTGCCAAACAACCAGATCGAGAATTCCAAATCTGAAACTGATCTTCCAGGTATTACAAAGGTCATTGTTGGAAGTTATTACAGCGTATTTCATAACAGTGTATTAGCTTAATTTATATCTTTTAAACTCTTGATGCAAGGTGTGTCAGTTTCCATTTGTACCCTTGCTCTGGTCCCACAAATTTAGGAGCGTGCTTGGTCTTTTTGCTCATTGTGTTTTGGTTTTTTTGTTTTGTTTTGCTTTGTTTTGCTTTACAGTGAAGAGAGCTATCAACTCCCGCGTGAATGAAGAAAGCTCGATCTCTCATGTTTGATAATCTTGGAAGAATAATTGTGATGGGCTATATTACCTTTTCATGATCGAGAAGCTCTTGTAAAATAACTTGTCTTTCCCGGCACAGTTCCAAGAAATCTTCAGAGTGCAGACTTTCATGTAGGGCAGGGAAGAAGGTAAGCTGAGTGCAGTCCACTGCTACCTCATCTGTCTTGATCTCAGCTTCCTCTGATGTCAGCTCATCTGCAGCAGCATAAAGGGACACATGTGTGTGTTTTTTTTAAACATTTATTTATTGTTGAGAGACAGAGAGAGACAGAGTGTGAGCAGGGAAGGGGCAGAGACAGAGGGAGACACAGAATCCAAAGCAAGCCCCAGGCTCTGGGATATCAGCACAGAGCCTGATGTGGGGCTCGAACCCATGAACTGTGAGATCACGACCTGAGCCAAAGTCAGACGCTTAACCCACTGAGCCACCCAGGTGCCCCAGGTCACACATTTTTTGACGCAAGCCACCCGGCCTCACAAGGGATGGTGCACAGCTTGGGCCTAAGTCACCAAGAGAAACTGCAAGGTTTCAAGGCACAAGTGAGTGGTGGGACCTCAGCATGTGCCCCACTGTTTCTGAAAGTGAACACCACCCCTCTGACCCTGTGGTGTGGTCAACACACCGTTAGGTTGATTCACTCTGGAAGGTGTGCCCAGGGCTGGCTGCTCTGTAGCTCCAGAGTGACCACAGAGCAACACTTCAAAATTCACCCTCATTAATCAGCAGAGCAGTTCCCTTGAGGGTTATCCAGAATCTGCTTTCTCTGAATTTCACTTCACTCTTTGAAAAGAGTGAGTTTTTTTTTTCTAATTATGGATGCACTGTGATCTTGGAAAATCCATGACATTGTGAGAATAAATTTTAAAAATTTGAGAAGTAAAACAAGCATCACTCAGGCACCCAGAAATAGTGCTAATAATAACAGCTCAGATGTAGTAAGCACTTCTTCTGTGCTGGATGCTTTTGATGACAGTTTTTTCATCTACTCCAAGCGGGTTGTAGATTCTATTTCCTTCTCCCTTTACAATCAGGGGAAAGTGAAAGGGGCTGATTACTTTGCTCAAGGTCATATGGCTACAAAGAACTAGAAGCAGAATCTGAACCACGTTTGTTCTCACTGTTCACAATTTCGGTTCTTTACTTCTAACACCTTTTCTGTACGTATATGTATATGCACAAACACATAATTTTTTGACATGATAGGAATTACGCTGCATTTACAATTTTCTTTCCTAATATTATTTTTACTTGATTGTCTCATGAGCACTTTCTCATTCCACTGAAAGTTCTTTGAAATCAACTAAAATGGCTGTGTAATATTCTATTGTGTGACTCTTTGATCATCACCTAATCCATCTCCAGTTTTTTGGAGATACAACTGGTTTCTATTTCTACTGTGAATGTGCTGTGCTGCGATCATGTGTGTGCACACCTTGACTTACTTCCTAAGCACGTACTGCTGGGCACAGATATTTGGGTGCCAGCTGAGCACATACTTACATAATTTCTGGATCCTGTTCCCCCACCCTGTCCCAGATGCCCACCTGCCTAGAACAGGTACATGGCACATGACTGCAAAGTTGTGGGGCTACTAGCCATTTTGTGTGTGTGTGTGTGCTAAGCTGCTCACCTCTTTGAGCTCCTCTGCACCTGGGAGTCTCCCAACTAGAAGAATGAAAGTGTCTGCTGCTCACAATAGCCACATAGGCTTTTCCCCAAGCAGGGAGAATGCTGTATAGATACAGGCACCCAGGAAAGCATAGGGGAGAACCAGAAGCCCTTTCTTCTTCTTCTCTGGCTGAACCCCCTACTGGGGGCAAGAATCTGCATTTCAGGACAAGGGGACGCCACAGCCCATGGCCATAGTCAACATCAGCGCATGCTTCCCATCACCACAATCTCTGCAGATACTCCCTCTGAAAGGGAACACAGGTAGACTATCATTGTGATCCTGGAGCTGTGGGGCTTGAGTTAAAGAGGAGAGAAGCAAAAGGGCATTACAAGACTGTCCCGAGTCCTGTGCCACAGTGGGACCCCCAAATCAACCTGGGATCAAGGCCCAGCATCTTCACTTCCAGGCTTTGTTATTGTAGACTGGCAAGATAGCAAGCTCAATGCAAAATCCGGTCACTAAGGCACTGAGTGAGACAAGTTTATCAGTGGTAGGAAGCTGTCATCTAATTAAGGACAGGACACATGCTGCAGCTGAGGAGACAATGAAACTCACAGACAGGGAGTGTTTGAAGCAAAAGGCAGGGTCTGGTAGAAACACAAAATCTGAAATAGAGTGTGTATGTCGGTGTGTGTCTGCGTGTATATTCGTGTGTGTGTGTGTTTCAGTGTGTTCATGCCAAATGGGCTCTGAAAATAAACCTTGGATTTTCAGCAAACCAATTCAGCCAAATCCCTCCATGAGGATTATACAATTGAAGAGTCAGTATAAACATCAAAAACGATTCGAAGTATATATATATTTTTTAGCTTGGGAAATAATAGTGACTATTGCAGCTGGTTTTACAATCAGAGGATTCAGTTTAAAAAAATTTTAAATACCTCTTTTACCCATTTTTACTTTGAAGTATTTTCTTATTTTCCTCCTATGTGTTTTGGGTCACATACTGCACATGTATTAGTATTATTTAGGGACGCTTTTGAGGTTTCCCTGACATAGCAAATTGACAAGATAGTTCCCCTGAAAAAAATTTTATTGTTATAACTATAATATAAAATTCTTCCCCTACCAGAGTGTCAAGGTCTGGAATACTTTCCTCCTCATCCTGGAGAGCACAGTAATGCCAAGAGTCTTAGCATCGCCTACCTCAGACATAAGCATTTTCTTCCTCCAGAGTATTAATTTCATATTAAATAAAACCAAGAATTGGTTTGATGATTAATGAAAAACAGGTAAAATGATAAATGGAGTACCTTGGCTTTCAACATTTGTTTGAGACACGTTGCTGTTTCTGTCTTGATTTTCCTGAAACAAAACAAGAGAATAGAGAAATTAAATCCTGAATACTACTATGGTGCCCCTCACCCCATTACACAGGTTCACACACACACATGCATGTGACCCCCTCAAATTACTCATATAGTCACAAGTCTTAGATGCAAGAAGGGAGGAATGCTAAATCCTAAAGGACCACAATAAAACGTAAGTATTAATGTTCCTGAGTCAAAGGGGAAAAAACCCACAATCTTCCATTAAGTAGGATTTACAGTAATTACCAAAGATGATGCCAAAATGGGATCAAATAGCATCTCAGATGTCTGTGATGTGGGCCACCCTGGAGAGGTGACCAGGCACAGGATCTGGGGCTAGGCAGCCTGAGAGGCCAGAGACCAGGTTTCACAGCCAGCCTTTGGCTTTGTCACTAGCACAGTGGACAGGATACTTATTTTTCCTGCCTCCACTTCCTAAGAAATGTACTGGGGGGAAAATACTATATAAAACCAGATGTTCACTGATAATACAGTAAAAATTCAAGTGTCTGTACGTAAGAGAGGAATCACTGGGTTCCACTCTTGAAGCCAAGACTACACTGTATATTAACTAACTTGAATTTAAATTAAAAAAAATTCAAGTGTCTACTGAATGAGTGAAATATAATTTTTTTTCATTAAGTTTTAGGAAGAATTTAAAGTGGATAAAAGATCCTGAGGTTACAGACTACAGAATAATCCCGACGTTGTATCTCAGGAGGAATGCAGAAGGAAATGTCTTGCATTCCACTGTTTGGAAGGCTGCCTTCTAGAATACCTTAAATCGGAATCCTTCAATGAAGACATGAGAGAACTATTAACAGATTTTTCCATATCCACTCCTAATCCAACTGGTTCCCCATTCTTTAAAAGGCAGAACTGTCAGTCTGATGACACAGAATTCACGCTTCATCAAAGCAAACTCCCAGGGACCACCTAGATCCTGTTGCTTGGGAAACCAATGGCTCCAATGTTGTTTGGACTCCCTGGGTCACAGGTTCATGCTTGCAGAAATGGCTGAGTTCAAGATATTTCCACTGTAAAACTTGCTATGAGATTCGATTATGCAATAATGGCCATAGCAGGGCTGGTTACGACTGCTCCATTACAGATAACTTATGCAGACAACGGTCATGACTTAGCTCCTTCCAAACACTGATGCCCAGATTATTCCATTGGACTTTTGTGGATGTCAGCGTGATACTGGGTCAGTGGTGTAGATATGAACCACTCAGCTATTCATTCACTCATTTTCTTATTTATTCACGCTGTAGTTACAGCAGCCTTTCTATATACCTGGGAGGTTTAGTAATTCTTTTCTTCTTTTTTTTTATATTTTATTTTATTTTATTTTATTTTATTTTATTTTTATTTTATTATCTTTTACGCGAATGATGTCAAATTGGTTTGGTATACAACACCCAGTGCTCATCCCGCAAAGGTGCCTTCCCTCAATACCCATCACCCGCCCTCCCCTCCCTCCCACCCCCCCCACAACCAAAAGCATAAAAGACTCCTAAAACTGAGAAAACTGAGGTTTATTCTTTCTTTAAATGGTACCAAGAATAAACAGGCACTTGTACACTTAACTGCACATGATCTCCCCACCTGCCCATGCCAAAGCATTCCCAAAGCACTCCTGGTAAAAACAGCATGAGAAGGAATAGCTCAGAAGACACTTCTACACGCGTTTGAAGCATCCTTGTTGCACTGCATCTAACTCTTACCTTGAGCCTTTCTGGACTCAGGCTTCAGCTGGAGATGCTGCTGAATGACGCTTCTCATGAAGCTTGGTCCCTCTCTCCAGTCCAGTCCCCACCTGGAGCAAAGTGTGGCTTCTGTCGTTTGGCCCCACAAGCCCAGCTCCCCAAAAAGCTGCTCCTGAATCTTGGCCCAGGCCGGGTCAGCTTTGATGCTGTTACATCTCCTGGGCTCTCTAAGCAGGAAGCACGGGTCACCCTTAGACACATTTCCTCATGGGCTTGGCCCCGAACCTCTGGGGATGAACAGACCAAGCCCTCTTAATTGGTTGAGAAAAATAAAACCCTACAGGCAGCCCTGAGCACCCTCAGGGTGTGGAGTATACATCCTGGAGCCAGGAGCAGGCCATGAGAAGATAGCGGTTTTTCAGCTCTGAGACCATTCAATCCAGGTTGGGGGAAGAGAAAACCATCTGCCCGCTGGCCTTCAGAACTATGTGACTGCTGGGTGTTGTGCAGAGCACAATAGGACCTGAAGGTCCTGACACTATTCATCAGAATAGGTTGGACAGAATGGACTTTATAAATGGAACACAGAATCTCACTACAACCCCTGCCCTTCAAAAATGATGCTGAAGATACTCCTTCCAGTGTCTGGACTGGAGGTGTGTATGTGTGTGTGTGGGGGGGGGGCGGAATCACAGACCTGCCAACAATTGGTAGATCTGAAAAAGTCATCTCTGTCTCTGGACCTCAGATTCTCCAACTGTCAAATGAGAACTTTGGCCTAGATATCATCTAAGGGTCTTTCAAATCCTAATATCCTAGGAGTCTAGAATGTTGAAGAATTCTAGAATGTATGTGGAAACTAAAACCTTTGCTATTAATGACAATAATCCCTTACTGATGACATCTTTATAGTTTGCATATGTGGCACTTGACTGACCCCCCCCCCCAAACTGCTTTTGTATGCCACACTGAAGTTGTCTGCATCACCTGTCAAAGGAAACTTGACACCTGTCAGCTTTGACAGCGGAATCTTATGTGTCTTTGGGGTGAACTTTTGCAGTTATTCAAATATTCGATGGTTATTTGCCCTATCTTTTGATTTTAAGTTTTCAGAAAATTGAAAGGTGTGTTAATGTTGAGAAGCACAAATCTCATCAACTTAACATCAAGAGAAAAGAAATCACTATCATGCATCAGGGCCGAGCCCCTCACCTGCTGTATCTCTGTTCCTCTACGCAGCGGCATCATGTGTGAAGCTTGAACCTTTTAAATAATTTCTACTATCCTCATAAAGAAATCAAGTCTGGGAGAGGAGACGTGGTTTCTCCAAGGACCACCGGGTGATGGAGCTGAATATAACAGACAATACAGCACGAGTTCCATGGTCTTTGGGGTCAGACGAACCAGGGTCATCATCATGTTTCTGCTATTCTCTAGTCGTCTCATGGAAAGGGGCTTCATCAAATGCAGTTAATAATATTACAATAATAATAAAGCCATGGGTTTATGTAAGGATTAAATGAGACAGTATTTTCAAGAGTTTTTATGCGGTGACTTTCTCAGCGTAAACAGTATTGTTATCGTGAATAAAGCAAATCCTATTTCAAAGCGAGATTATTTTGTTTCTCCACAGTTCTCACATTTATATCCCAAACAGCATTTTATATAATACTCCGACTGGTTAATAAGGAGCTCCAGAAAAATAATGTCTGTCCTGTCCAAAGCCTTTTACAGGGATGAGGTTATATGAAATGAATACACGTTTAGGGAAAATATTTCAGCTCCCTGGAGATTGTCGCTGGGTTTCGAATAACATATAAAGCTTCATAAAGGATGAGTAATCCCAAGCTATTGGGTTGTCCACCTTGGATTTAAAATTAGTCTTTAAACAGTATCTTCTTCACCCCAAGGATCTACCTATGAACCTGGGGGTTCATGGCTGCCTGTGTCTTCATCACAGAGCAAATAAGTTGTCTCAAATACCTGCAGCCAGACAGGCATGTATCAGTAGTGAGATCCCTCAGAGATGAGTGATTGTTTAGTCCGTGACAGAAAGCCACAAGTGGTCCCAGGAGAGAGGACACAGGATGATCAAACGGCAAAAGCCCTGAGTTCCCATACCTGCAAGGTGCTCTGCTTTTTTTTTTCAATGTTTATTTGAGAAGGGGGCAGAGAGAGGGGGGCATACAGGATGGAAGCAGGCTTCACACTGACAGCAGAGAGCCTGATGAGGGGCTCGAATTCACGAACCGTGAGATCATGACTTGAGCCAACATGGGACACTTTACCGACTGAGCCACCCAGGCATGCCACCTTCCACGTGCTCTCTAATGCCTGTGTTTCTGCATAAGGTAAGGTCCCCTTTCGGCTTCAAGCTCGATTGGGCCAAATGCTTAGAGACTTAGAGGCAGGATTTCTGGTATGTTAGAGGTAGATATGGCTTGGGGCTGAATGGAAACTTTTCAGTAGCATTAATGAGCTTTTCCTCTGGGCAACCAACCCTTCCCTGCTTTTGGTCCCCCATGCTTTGGAGAGGCTGATCCCAGCCCTGGCTTCAGTTCCGAATGTCATCCAAGTGGTGGAGGACGATTACAGGATGGGCTAGTGCACATCATTCCCCAGGACTGGAGATGGTGCTCTCTGAACCTATACGGAGCAGACAGTGCAGAGAGGCAGATGCATGGGTACACAGTTGGGGTCACCTGCCCCACGTCAGGGTGCCTTTATGTGCATCAGAGTGCCCCTGAGGCAGAGACAGTCCACAGGCATGTAGCTCAGCAAGAAGACACTGCCTTTGTGCAAGCTAGAAAATGGGTCCCCAGCTTTTACATGAACGTTGCCTAGTTCTAGGATGTACAGCCTGAGAGGGAGAGAGAAGAGAAAGGGAGAGAGAAGAAACAGGTTGCTTAGAACAGAGCTTAAACACCTGGATCCAGCTCTTCTTGAAGACTGCTTCCCCAGATTTTTTAGTACCACAAAACTTCATTTGCTGCCTAAGCCAGTTTGAGCTGAGCTTCTGATATTTGCATTTGAAAGAGCTGTGACAAAAAACTTAATATACAGAAACTCAGCAAGAAATGGCAACAAACTGTTGGCCCTTAGAGAACCCAAAAGGGTGCGGCAGAACACTGCTTCTCACATACTAAAAAGAAAGGCCACTTCTAGGATGGCAGGCATCTTGCAATAGCTTTAACCAGTAAAGCCTGGAATGTTTTAGAAACAGCACAGACAGAATGAGGCATTTCTGTCAATTATGGTAAGGAATCGCCATAAGAACAGGATGGTCTGGGCGTAGAACCAGAGCAGCTGGACCACAGAAAAGAGAACGAATAGAATTTGGAAAAGGCAAATGGGAATCCTGGCAGGGCCAGAGTCGAGGAAACTGTTTTTGCCAGTGCTTCTGGAGCAACAAGAAATTTGGGAGATTGGATATATCAAATTGCCTGACTTACTGGTAACATAATGATGGGATATGATGATGCTTGGATGAACTTCCAGGGCACTGGGTAATGTTACCTGGTCATGTTGCGGGCTCCTGCCATCTGCAGAGACCTCTCGGTTGTGGGCAACAGGCCAAGTTAGGGAAGTCTTACACCACGTATTACGGAGAGCCCTGTGGGCCAGGATCCCTGAATCTCACTACGACCACCCTCCTGGGAGGGCCTCATTGAGTACACTCGGCACACGCTGTCCTTGAAGAACTTGGTGGGTTTCACTAGCCTGATCTCTTCACAGAATTTGGACCTGGCTTTTCTGGAAGTAGAGTGGGGGCTGCCCTCGGAAAATGTATTGCCCCTTAAAAAAGCAGGGTGGATGCTCTAGGCCCCATTATCTCTGGCAGATGGTGATTACCTCTGCATTCCTTTAAACATTGAAACAATCTGTCTTAAATATTTAAACACTTGGAAAGTATCCTTATGGATTAGCCTCAAATGCTGATTTTCTCTAAAATACCTCAAACGGTAAAACTCTACACAACTTTCTGAAGCATTCTCTGAACCCCATTGAAGCCCGCTGCTGAAAATGAACAAGGCCAAATGTTCCAGAAGGCCGGCAACTTTCCTCGTCGGCTCGGAGCCTCTGCCGAGGTTCTGTCCTTCCCCCACGAACTTTCAGTCTCACACATTCCAGCAGAAACTCACAAAGTACCACACAGCACATCTCTTCCAGTCATCAGCAAATCTCCCAGGCTCTTCCAACCGTAGGAAGAGAGATTCTCACATTCTCCACTGGGTGCTGATTTGGATGTTTAGACAAACAACACCCTCTATCTTGGAATGAAACAAGTGTGGCGAGGATGCCCATAAACAAAGGATGTAATCTTAAACAATTCATCGTATTTTCCCCCAAGAGCAATTGAATTTATTAGCTATATTGCTAATCCTGAAAGAAGTCAGTGAATACAAGTGGTGGGGCATTGATGTGCAAGGGCCTGTCCGAGGGGCTCAGATACCATGAGGCTAAGCCAGCAGGGCACCCCTCCAGCTGTGCAGTGCAGTCAACAATGTAGGTGCCCATGAGGAGGTTCTTCTCCACACTGAGAGCCTGCTTCAGACCAGCTTGTGCGACCAGAGAAACAGGAATGTCTCCTGATAGCTTTGATGGCCGCATGTCCTGTAGACCCCCAAACCCCTCTTTCACCCCTGTCAAGTCTGATGAACTGCCCCTGTCCTTACTCACAGGATAGCTGGGGAGGCTATGTTGCTAACCTGTGTGTTTCTGGGGTGCAGGCTGCACAGCTCATGAATCCTTATTTCCAGGGGCATGTGTGGGCTCCCAAGTGAGCTTATTTGGAGGGAATTAGACCAGGTTGCTTGGCTGAAGTTGATCAGAGCCGATTTTGTTCCCCTGACATTTGGGCAGGCCTTCTTTGGCCCCTCACACCATCCCAGCCATGCTTCATGACTCCTTACACCCTATTACTCTACTCTTTATAGTAGAATATCCTAGAATTGGCCTCATCACCCTGCTTGTGGTTATTTCCTTACTCTTGGTCCTTCTACTGGGTTTTAAGAACCTTCAAGGCACAGCAGTGACATTATAATCTCTGCCTTTCCTGTACTTAGCATAGATTTTGGAACAGAGAAATTGTAAAGCAAATAGTATTTTTAGTGGGGTTTTAATACTATATATATGTCGTGTTCTATTATTAGCAACAATTTTTTAAAATGTTTGTTAACAAAAAATAAAAATAAAAAAATAAAATGTTTGTTAACAACAACACAGACTAAAGATGAACCTCTTAGCCATTCCATAACCGCACAATGGACATGTATTCCCTGCCAGTCACTTCTTGGTGATCTATGCTTTCTCTTTAATTTTTACAGTTAGGAAATATTATCCCTTCTTTTAAAGGGGGACCCTGAGACTCAGACTGCAGGCCTGGGACGGGGCAGACCTGAGACTCAACTAGAGATCTCACTGGCATGACAGTCAGTGCTCTTTACCTTGACTGTCCAGAAATCACACCTAGAGAGGGGTTGTAAGTATCTACATCTGCCCTCATGGTGGCGACCCATTGAACTTAAGGTAAAATGCAAAAGCCCTAAGGAGGCAGCAAGCCCTGTGTGTTGTGGCCCTGCCTCGTCCTCACCCTTGTTCATCTCTGATTCAGGTCACCCAGTCGCTTCTTCTTCCAGTTAACTGGCAGCATCCAGCTCTTTCCTGATCAGGAACTTCCCACATGACCTTCCCTTAGCCAAAAACACATCCTCAGAATACTTCCGTCCATCTTCCTCCTCCAGATCTTAACTTAATGGTCACTTTCTTGGAGGGGGTATCTGATCGGCCCAAGTTAAATTCTCCCCACATCATAATCTCTCATTGTACCTGTATTTTCCATGTTTCTTGCTCAACACGAGTAATAATGATCGATTTATTTGTGTAGTTATTTCATATCTATCCCTCCAGAGAAGTAGAGTGAAGTTACCAGAGAGTGAGGCCTGTACAGTTGCACCCCTAGCTCATAGCTCAGGGTCTGAGGCACTCTGGGTTGACACCTATTTACTAGTGGATGAATGGGTAGATGAGAGGATAAACATGCTGACTATTTCCTCAGCTGCTGACAGCATGGCTCCACATTCACTGCACAGGTTACACAAGTAGGTCTGAATCGTTGCTGGCCAATTATTGACTTAGCCAACTAGAACTTAAACCAAAGGCCTTCCTGATTCTTTGCTCCTGGTCCAGGGTAGATTCCTGGCTTCTGTGCAGAGAAAAGAGCTGTTCTGCTTCTTACCTGGACATGATCTTTGTATAAAGACGCATATAGTTCCTGTCCTCTTCTTCTGTAGTTCTCGATACACGACACGAAATCCTGGAAGAGAGAAAACAGGTCACAGCTTAATGACAGTTGTGATTTCAGATAAAAACTTCTCCATTCTGACCAATTATCAGGGGAAATAACGGTTACAAGTTTTGTTGGTCAACTCAATCACAACCTCATCAATAAAGACTTCACTTACGCTGACACCACACACACAGATATGCACACACGCACACACATGTGCACACACACATTCACACACACACACACACACACACACACACACACATATACACGTCTGTGGGTTACTTCCACTTCCAGCTATCGTGAGCTAGCTTACAACAGGTCAGTCTTCCTCCCAAGAATAAAAAGAAAAGCCATATTTGAATAATCTGCTTTAAGGCAGCAGAGAGTACCAAGAGAGCCAAGTCTTAAGACGTCAAGATCTTGGAGATAAAGAAAACTCACTGAGATGTGCCCAATGCCTGATATCTATGATTTTTTGCCCCTGGGATATTTGCAAGTTTGCAAATAACACAAGAAGTTGAGCTGAACAGAAAGTGGTGGGTAAGAAGCAGAGAAGCTTAACGGAACTTGTGATGCTTTCAGGTGGCTAAGGAGACAAAAATAGGAATTCAGGCTCACCAAGACACCTAGGCCATAAGAGACCAAGAGTCCAGAAATAGGACAGTACAGAGAGGCAAGCCCAGCTTTCTGCACTGATGTTCTCTTTTAAGCAGTTTCTGATTTATAAGCAGTGTAAGTTGTAAAAACCAACAGGATTTGGGCTTTATAGTGGGATATCTCAAGGGCTGCGCCGTAGAAATAAAGGCGGATTGGAAATAGGTCTTACAAAGCTGGTCTTACAAAGCTGAAACCTGACTTCCAATGGGCTCAAACTCTGAGTACATTATAGTGATCTGCCCCCACTCCAAGTACATGCCAGAAGGCAAAGAAAGTCCTTTCTGGAGAAGGATCCCACCATGTGAAGCCTCTAACTGAGAATTTCATACGAAATGCTCAGTAGTCAAGCAGAAACTACTAGATGTACCTGTTAAAAGGATAAACAGAAAAACAGATAATAAAAGCATACCCCCACATATATCCAGACATTACAGTTAACACACATGGACCTTAAAATAATGCAAGGTAGTCCAAAAAATGCAGAATGGAGGCTTTTGCAAGAGATATGGGATCTATGGAAAATAACCAGATAAAATTTCTAAATCTGTGAAATGAATTAATTGAAATTAGAAACTCCATAGGTAAGTCTGACAGCAGAGTGGATACAACTGAACAGAGGGTGAGTAAAATGGAAGAAATATTCTTGCTAAATATGATGAGATATAAGTATGGAAAATACTTAAGGGATAAAGATAGATACGTATGTAATATAGAGAAAGCATCTAGCATATGTGGACTGGTGTCTCCAAAGGGGAGGAGACAAAGAAGCAATATCTGGAAAGCTAATGAGAATCTTCCCAAACAGGTGCAAGACTCATCGAGCCACAGATTTGAGAAATTCTGTAAACCTCAAACAAGAAAAATACAGTTAGAAAACCACCCAGAAGCCCATCACAATTAAACTGCAAAAAAGAAAAAAAGAAAAAATATTCAAAAAGATAGCAAAAGTTCTTATCATCTTTAAAGAGGCGACAGTAAGAATGGTAGGGGCCAGAAGAAAACGGAACAACATCTTCGAATCATGAAAGAAAAAAAAAACTGACAAGCTCAAAGCCTCTACCCAGTGAAAATATCTTTCAAAAATAAAGACAAACCAAAACATTTGCAGGTGAATAATACTGATAGAATGCATTACCAGCAGAACTGCATGAAGTGAAGGAGCTTTTGGGGTAGAATGAAAATGATTTCATATTGAAGCATATATCTTTGGAATGAATGAAAGACTACAGAAATGGTAAATATATTAGTATATCTAAATGAATTTTGGCTATTGGAAAACAATAATAGCAATAATAATAAAAACTTACAGGATTTAAAAAATAAGAATTAAAACACATGAAAAAATAACAAAAGATGGATGGGATAAATGAAATAGTGTCCTAGGTTTCTTCAATTAAAAGTTGGGGGGGGGGGGGCGCCTGGGTGGCTCAGTCATTTGAGCATCCAACTTGGTCTCAGGTCATGATCTCAAGATTGGTGGGTTTGAGCCCCATGTCAGGCTCTGTGCTGACAGCTCAGAACCTGAAACCTACTTCAGATTCTGTGTCTCACCTCTCTCTGCCAGCCCCCCCGCCCCCCACCATGCTCTGTGTCCTTCTCTCTCTCTTGCTCTCAAAAATAAATAAACATTAAAAAAATTTTTTTTTAATTTGGAAAAAGGGTCTAATTTACATTAGACCTTAATAAAGCAAATATGCACATTGTAATTTCTAGGCTAACCACTAAAAACATAACAAAAGAATATGTGACTTCCAGGTAATAGAAGGGAAGTACAATACTTTAAAATAGTTGATAATATGTTGAAAGAGGGGAAAAAAAGGAATAAATAACAGATATTACAAACAGAAAATTAAAAAAAAATTTTTAACATTTATTTATTTTTGAGACAGAGAGAGACAGAGCATGAACGGGGGAGGGTCAGAGAGAGGGAGACACAGAATCTGAAACAGGCTCCCAGGCTCTGAGCTTTCAGCACAGAGCCCGACGCGGGGCTCGAACCCACGGACCGTGAGATCGTGACCTGAGCCGAAGTCAGCCGCTTAACCGACTGAGCCACCCAGGCGCCCCCAAACAGAAAATTTTAAACAAGGTGGATTTAAACTAAAATTGTCATTAATTACATTCAACGTAAATAGACTAAATGCTCCAAATAAAAGATAAACTGTATCAAAAAGGAAAACCTAAGTAAATGCTACTTAAAAAGAGATACTCCTTGAAACAAGGACACAAAAGGTTGAAAGTAAAATGATGGTAAAAAAAAAAAAATAAACTAGACGAAGGCTAACCAAAAGAAATGTGGTAAAACTGTACAAGTAGTAGTCTTTAAAGTAAGAAGTGTTATTAGGAATGAAGACGGTACTTCATAATGATAAAGGATAAATACACTAGGAAAGTGTAAGTTCTAAATGTGAAGCATCTATTAATATAGCCTCAGAATATATAATATATAACATAACAGAATTGAAAGGAGAAGCAAACAAGTCTACAATCACACTGGAAGAAGGTAACTTATCTCTCAGTAACTAACAGAAGAAGCTGACAAGAAAGGTAGAAATAAAGAATATTTGAAGACTATAGTAGGCAAGCCTCATCTGATGAATTGTTTAAAAAATTGCAGAAAATAAATGATACAGAACGCTCAAATGGAATTACTACTAAAACCTGCCACAGGATGGAACATGGAACAAACATAAAATAATTTCAAATGACTGAAATTACACAGAATATACTTTTTTGAACATAGTGGGATTAAGTTACAAGCAACTATTTTTTTTAATCCCCATATATTTAAAAATTAAGCAATATTATTTTAAGTAGCCCATGGGTCAAAGAAGAAATCAAAATGGAAGTTAGAAAATATTTTAGCCTAAATGAAAATGAAAATATCACATAATCAAGCATGTATGATAGAACTAAAATTTTTTTTGTGGGAATATATGTAATATACCAATAGTATTATTAGAAAAAATAAGCATGTAATCTATCAAGAAACTTGAAAAACAATTTAAACCAAGGGAAATACGTTTAATATCTCCCCCAGAAATTCTGATAAAGAAAAAAAAACAGTCAAAAGTTACCAAGAGCAGGAAGAAGAAAACGAGACACCATTCTAGATTCTACAAACATTTAAAGAATCATTATGAATAACTTTATGCTAATACATTTGAAATTTGGATGAACAACACACACATTCCCGGGAAAACATAATTTACCAAAACTGATACAAAAAGAAACAGAAAATCTAAATTGTGCAATGTCTATTACAGAAACTAAATCTGCAAATAAAACTCCCCCAACAAAGAAAATTTCAGGCCTGGGCATAAACAGTAATTAGAGGATGAGAGACCAAATTTGAGAAAAAATTCAGTGGAAATCAGCAATAGATAAAGCATAATGTGTCGCTACATAATTAATACCAATCCTTCTTAAATTTCCAAAAAACGGGGGCGCCTGGGTGGCGCAGTCGGTTGAGCGTCCGACTTCAACCAGGTCACGATCTCACAGTCCGTGAGTTCGAGCCCCGCGTCGGGCTCTGGGCTGATGGCTCAGAGCCTGGAGCCTGTTTCCGATTCTGTGTCTCCCTCTCTCTCTGCCCCTCGCCCGTTCATGCTCTGTCTCTCTCTGTCCCAAAAATAAATAAACGTTGAAAAAAAAAAAATTTTTAAAAAAATTTCCAAAAAACAAAAACAAACAAACAAACAAAAAAAAAAACAGAAGAAGAGGGAACACTTCTAAACTCATTTTATGAGGCTAGCATCATCCTGATACCAAAGCCAGATAGACGTCACAAAAAGGAACACTATAGGCCAATATACCTGTAAACAGAGATGCAAAAATCCTCAATAAAATACTAGCAAATAGAATTCAACAGCACATTACAATAATAATACACCATGACCTACTAAGATTTTTCCCTAGGATAAAAGGATGATTCAACATCTGCAAATCAATCAATGTCATATACCACATTTACAGAATGAAAGAACAAAAGAACATGAGCACCTCAAAAGACACAGGGAAAGCATCTAACAAAGTTGAACATTTATTTATGATAAAACTCTCAAAAAAAGAAGTATAAAAGGAATTTACCTAAACACAATAAAGGCCATATGTGAAAAGCCCACAGCTAACATCATAATCAGTGGGGGAAACCAAAAGCTTTCCCTCTAAGATCCACCAGAAAGCAAGGATGCTCACTGTTACCACTTCTATTCAACATAGCACTGGGAGTCCTAGTCAGAGCAATTAAATAAGAAAAATACATAAAAGACATCCAAATTAGAAAGGAAGAAGTAAAACTATTTCTGTTTGTAGATGATATAATCATATATGTAGAAAACCCTACATACTCAACCAAAGAAGAAAGA